GCAACCATTCAGACACTGGCAGCTTTCCACGTAGAGATAGCTATAATTTATGCTGGTTCCATTTTGGCAAGTCAGGGTCACCTGTCTTGTTTGGGTGCCGAGTTCCTGGCAGCAACCACACTTATGTTCCATCTGGTTTGCTTCAAGAGAGTACCTGTATTCCGCCAGGGGAAAAAAAATCATCTCATTAAAAAAACACAGAAGATCCCCTCAGTGATTTTTGTTTTGCGAGGGTTTGGTTTGGGGTTTTCTTTTTACATCCTCTTTTCCTCCTTCTCATGCACATTTAACAATGTGATTTTCATTACTTTTGTCTTCAATTGTGAAACCGTTCTTGCTTCTATTGAATCCTATTCAATTTGGTAGAATCATATAAACACATTAACTCTGTTGTTATTCTGTGATCAGAGAATTGTGTAGGTTGGAACAGACCTTTCAGAACATCGAGTCTAAGCATTAACCCAGCACTACCCAGTCCACCACTAAACCATGTCTCTAAGTGCCACACCTGCCTGCCTTCTAAATACTTGCAGGGATGGTGGGTGATTCAGTGGCTTCCCTGGGCAACCTGTTCCAGTGCTTGACAACCCGTTCAGTCAGTGAAGAAATATTTCCTAATATCCAATCTAAACACCTCCTAGTGCAACTTGAAGCCATTTCCTCTCATCATTTCACTTCTTACCTGGGAGAAGATATCAACCCCCGCCTCACTACACCTTCCTTTCAGGCAGTTGTAAGAGAGTGTGAACATCTCCCCTGAGCCTCCTTTTCTCCAGGTTAAACACCTCGAACTCCCTCAGCTGCTTCTAGACTTGTGCTCCAGACCCTTCCCCAGCTCTGTTGCCCTTCTCTGGACATGCTCCAGCACCTCAATGTCTTTGTTTCAGTGAGAGGCCCAGAACTGGACACAGGATTTGAGCTGTAGCCTCATTATGGCTGAGTATATTGTCCTGGTCCTGCTGGCCACACTATTTCTGATAAAGGCCAGGATGCTCTTGGTCTTCTTGGCCACCTGGGCACTGCTGATTCATGTTCAGTTGCTGTCACCAGCACCCCCCGGTCCTTTTCCACTGGGCAGCTTCCCAGCTCCTCTGCCCCAGCCTGTAGAACTGTCTGGGGTTGTTGTGACCCAAGGGCAGGATGCAGCACTAAGCCTTATTGAATCTCACACAATTATTGGTATAGATATAAAACAGCAACACTGAACCCCAGGAAACACCACTGGTGACTGTCCCCCAGCTGAAAATAACTCCATTCAACACTACTCTCTGGGCCTGATCATCCAGCCAGTTTTTGACACACTGAACAGATCATCTGTCCAAGCTAAGAGCTCCCAGCTTCTCCAGGAAAATGCTGTCAAAAGCTTTACAAAAGTCTGGGTAGACAATATCCACAGCCTTTCCCTCATCCCCTAAGTGGTTCACCCTTTCACAGGAGATCAAAGTGGTCAAGCAGCAGCTGCCTTTCCCAAACCCATCCTGGCTGGGCCTGATCCCCTGTTCACCTTGTATGTACTCCATGAAAGATAATCTACTCCATGTCCTTCCCTGGAACCAAGGTCAGGCTGACAGGCCTGTAGTTCCCTGGATCCTCTCTCCAAACTATTGTAGGTGAACATTTCATTTGCTGACCTGCAATCATTTTGGACCTCCATGGTTAACCAGACTGCTGACAAATGATTGAAAGTGGCTTTGTAAGCACTTTCTCCAGCTCCCTCAGTACCTTTGGGTGGTAAATTAACTTGACAGACCAGTATAAAGGAAGCCATAGAGCTGTTAAATTAATTTTTGGAACTTACATTGAGGAGCCAGGACAAGTTCCTTCACAATATGACAGCTCAACAGGTTCAGAAGACTCGCAGTCAGCATGGCGGATCACAGTTTCCTTGGTGTAAGGCTTGCAGTTTTTAGCTTCATAAAAAATGGGGAGGAGAGAAAATATACTTCAGTTCTCTAGTTCTGAACTAAAGGAATTGTAAACCAGTTTCATAGTGCTTGATGTCTGATTACTGAGAATCAGCAGTATGTGATGGGGTGGGTACTGTGTAATGTATATGGAGTTGTCAGATTATTATTATTTGGTTTCAGCTGTAAAGTGCCTTTGGAAGATAATGCTGGGTCCTGAGCATTGCTGGCTTGATTTGTAATATTCAATATCAGGAAAAAAATTGCAGTTTTCTTTTGAATAAACAATGAAACACAGGGTCTTCTTAAATAGACTATGTGAAAACAGGTTAGTGAAGAGTCCTTCCATCCACTCAAAGATAGTTAAAAGTTGAATAGAATGTTATTCAAGCACAACACGTAAACATAGCATTACTTACGTTTACATATTTTGCAGCAGCCATCAGATGTAATCTCTGCTTCGTCCTTTGTAAAAGTAAAGAAGGAGGATTTGTATTAGTGCACAGATAACAATCATGAGTAAGAATATGAGTTAGCACTACTGATACTGGGCAGAAGGCTTCTCTGTAATGAACCCTGAATGAAACAATGGATGACACTGTCACCACAGGAGTCTTGAATACTTATAGCCTCATAAGAAAATACTATGCTTTTATTATTATTGATCACAGAGCAAGCCTAGTTTCATTCTTAAAAAATTCCTGCAACTTCAGTGGAAGTGATTTGTTGTATTCTTCGTGGTCTCTCCTTGTTCATTTAAACTGAATTCAGTCAATGAAAAATTGGTTTAAAACTTACAGGATCACACTCTCCGGGGTCGTACTCAGGGCATACTTTTTTACTTTGGACTGCAACAAACTGATCTTCAATTTTTTCACATTTGTAATGGCTGCATTGATCAAGTGGCAGGATCTCATTAACCTAAGATTTTGTAAGAAAAGCAAAAGTTGTTTTTTTTTCATTGTGATCAAATATCTCTGAGCTAATTAAGTTCTCACTCCTCAAAGATTCTCAGATGCTTCTAAACTTCTTTCAAGTGACAAAAACAAAATTCTGCAAACTGTAGCTAGCTTGAAAGTTTAAATCCTGGCTCTGAACACTTAGACCATAAATTAGAAACCATTGCTCCATTAGCCACAAAAATCAAGAATTTGATTCCAAATAATGTTCAACTCAGAAAGCTGATACATTGTTTTTCAGAGTAATTTCAGTATTTTATTTTTATTAGTAAGGGACATGAGTTGACTCTTAGCTGTTCTAACTTGTATGGGGTAACAGAGAGATCTAAAAATGAAAGGAATACTTACATTGAGCACATGAACAGTGTTGTTACTGAGTTTGACTTTGCAAGCTACTTCAATACACTTCCCACAGCACTGTCCTTCCTCAGTCATGTATTGGTAACCCTACTCGGAAAGAGATGAAGGAGAAAGTATGTGGAATTGGTGATGGAGAATTCTAGTCTTGCTGTAGCTGACTGGGCAGCCTAGAGAACCTGAACTCACCAATGGGCAAGATGTCTCACACTGAATTTTTTCACAATGCACAATGTTTGCATTAGTCTCTGGATCTTTCTCAGAACTGCAAGTACACTTCTTACATGAATCGATTACTACTGACTTTCCAACCTGCAAGACAGAAAGAAAAACACCAAAAAACATTCAAATGCAACAATTCCTATATAATATAAAGACAGAGTTGAAAGCACTGCTAAGAACCATTAAGGTTTCTGAATTGCAAGTACAACAGTTCTCAAATTCTCTTGAACAGTTTTTGGGCTTCATGCCTTGCAGGAAAGCTCATATTAAGAGGAAACTAAATGAAGCAATATAAAAGCAGCAAATTAACAAAATTAAATTGAGACTGGTTTGTACTGTCTAATTATTTTTACTAGCTTTTCAATGCTTCATTTAAGACTATTTTTTCTCTGTAAGTTATGTTCAATGGTTGTAAAACAATTATAATTTAAAAACAGGGATTAAAATAAGCCTTTACATATACAGATATATGAGCAGAGATCTAAATTTACATATGGGTTTTAGTCTTTCTGAAATGTATCCCTAAAGACTCCAATGCTAATATTTAAATTATTAGTTAATGACCTAAGTACCAATTTTACCAAAAGGGTTTAGGCATCAATTAAATAAAAAACGTTAGTTTTGGTTTTTTAAGGTTCTCTAGGCTTATTTCAAAGAGCAGTTGAGTTTGGGCTATTCATCAGATTGTCTGGCAAAGTCATTAATTACAGAAGTGGGAGGAAGCTTAAAAAGAAAGTACATCTCTAAAAATGGTACACTCTTGTTTTATACTACTTGTTGAGGAAGACTTCTATGACAAATTTGATTTTGACTTTACCCAAAAAACATCCAATTAAGGGTTAGAGTGGAAAAACCCCAAAAATATACTGGGAAAAGAATTTTCTCAAAGACTTATTTTGGTAGAAAGGATGTACTTTTCACTTCCAGCAATATAACTGCTATATCATTCTTACCGTGTACAGTGTTCCATTAATCACACAGACATCAGGTACTGGTTCTGAAAAACAAAACAAAAAATTAATTCCAGAATAATTCAAATTGTGAGACTTCCTGAGAAGTCAAGATGTTATCAGATTTTGTTAGTGACACAGAGAATATGGAAAACTTGAATTCAATCCATCTGTACTTAGACCTCATATGTAGTGCAGCTGAATGTTTAAGTAAAGTTTCATCATTAAAATTCACTGGAATAGTTGGAGAGGAATGGCTTCAAACTCGAGCTATGCATTTTTTGCCCTTTCAGTATCTGGTTCCATTCATACTTGTTTCCTCTTTGAACCCTAGGAGTCCAGTGATATACAAAGATGCTTCAGTTATTGATTCTTTATGACCTTTCAGAGCATAGGTTGTATGGAAGATTGACTCTGTGGAAAAAGGTATTCTTGCTGTGGTAATGTAAATCTCACAACATGACAGAGCCCATCTATATCTTTGACAGAATTGCTTCAAACTTGCCTGTTCCTTTGTTTTGACTTTCCTTTTTCAGGCTTAATTTATGGATACTTTTTTCTTTTTATTCTTTTGCACAAGTATATTTACATAAATATATGTATATAGAAGTGTATGTTTATAAACAAACAAATATAACCGTGAGATTTTTTTATTTTCATTAGCATCTGGTGAGAGTGTAAGTATAATTATTACTTGTCATACACTGTCAACTCAGTTACTGATTACAATTCACTTTGTACTACTGCTTCCGGTTACTTGGTCTCATAGTTAACTGTTAATTGGTGGCTTATGTTTATGCATCTTAGTTTAGTTGCATTTAGGCTAATGCTAATGTGCTCCTATGTTCCATTAATAACTCGAAAAAGATGCATTGGTCACATTTATAATTGCACATACAGAGATAGTTGAGCTACATAGACCAGTGAATGTTCAAAATATTATTCCGCTCTCACATCCATTCTCTCATCAAAGTTAAATGAAAATAATATTTTTTTAAACAAAACCTTAATGCATATTTAGCCAAAAATTGTATGTTCACTGAGACAGAACAGTTAAGAAAGATCTTGCTGCTACTGTAATACACAAAGAACTTCCGTAGATATTAATGGAAGTGCAAATGCAATTTACTGGAGTGTGTGGTGTGGTATTTATACATGTATTTTTAATACTTACGGCATTCAAATTCAGGACAACATGGGTCTTTTTGTGGTAGTACAGGCATGGAAACAAATCCTAGGTCACAAATTGTTTGCTGAGCTGTTTGGCATGGGAGCGGCTGGCATTGCACAGTAGCAGTGAGTGAGTCACAGACACACTTCTGGCATTCATTTATCCACTCCTCTCCAGGCTGAAAATATGTAAATTATTTATTCTTAAATGCTCTTTCCTCCTAGTTTTCAGTTTTAACTTAGGATCTACTCTCAAAATTAGTATGAAATTCAGATTTCCTGGATTCTCTTAGTACATTATTTAAGAGCAGGTATGCTTAGAACAACCACAGAATTTTCTTCCGCATAAAAATAATGGTATTTTACATTTTATGACTAGTCTACTTATATCTATGAAATTTAAATTTAAATGTAAATTACTTTTATTAAAACTAAAAGTCTGTGCCATGATCTTTGTGAGCTTTTCCACCTAGAGATTACTTAAAAGTCTGGTAATCCCCGGTTAAATAATTGTCTGCTATAAGGTCATTTGTTACATGACCAACATTGTTACTGAGATACACAGAAGCTGATTTGAATTGGCTGTTAAAGGACAGAAATTGGTCTGGTTTTGCAACAGTGGTATATTAGAAAGTAGGGAGGGGTACCACCTTTCGTGCAGGATTGACATCAGTACAGTTTCTTTCTACTGAAGTTGTGAAGGTTGTTGCTGTGGTTGGTGAGGCAGCTTGCGATGCAGTTGAGGAGGCAACTGAAGGAACGGGAGTTCTCAGAGGACATGGCCCATAGAAGGGCTCAATCTCACATTCCTTGCTGCAAAGTGCATAAAAATTACAGCCAGCTCTATCTGTTTTGTTGTATACCACTTCCCCTGTAGATGAAAATTGAAGGAGAAATTACAAGAATGAAAATAAATCGGGAGAAAAAAACAAGAAAATACTGTGAAAATATAAAGTGTATTCATGTATAAAAAGTTCTACGTTTAGATAATTTTGAGTGGCTATCTTTGATTGAATAGAGTCTTAAGGGTTTCTATTGCTTAAGAAATTTTTTATAATCATAAAATAAGACACTTACCGGGAGAAAATAAAGTTTCAAACACATGACAAAAGCATGGGGTTATTTTGCTGGATGTAACAGATGTGCTGGTGGAAGAACTGAAGGTCGCAAGAGTGCTTGTTGTAACATGACTTGGTTGTGATGTACCAGTTGAAGTTGCTGTTGAGCACAAGTAATGATTTAGTTTGCAGGTACAGGATTTTGATCTAATAATTTTAATATATTCAAGAGGTCTGTTCAAAATTCTGGCAAAACAAGTGAACATTTTTGTTGCATTCAAATATTTCACCTATTCATAAGTGGAGATTGTGAAAATTTTTCCATTATACATTGAATAACATCTGGCCTTTGGCAAATCTTATGAGATTTACCTCTAAAATTTTCAAAAGAGTTCTGTTCACGGAAGTAAGAATTAATACTATGAAGTTAACCCAGCTGTCAAACGTAGATAGTAGTAACAAAGGGGCAGATTGATTAAAAATTGGTTTATGTGTTTGAAGGAATATAGTCATAGACTCATACAATCACAGATTGGTTTAGGGGAAGAAGACATAGAACACAAAGATATGAATGTTGGTATAAAGACAAAACTGGTTGTATAATTTTAAGAAGTAGACAATAACATACCTGGCCGGGACAGTAATGCGAGAGAAAAATGTTTTAGCAATATTTTCTACAGTAGGAGAAAAGAATGTTGTAAGAGTTTCTGTAATACCTGAGGTACTTCCAGACTGAGGAAGAGTGGTACTGAGCAGAGCTGAGGGGCCAGTAGTGGTTCTTAATTTTGTTTCAGGTGAAGTGGAGGCACTGCCATTGGTAGTTGCAATGATGGTTGTGCCCTCTCTGGCCTGGGCCGTGGTGCTGGGGACACCTGTTGTTCCAGCAGTGGTTCTTATTTTGACTTGAGAGCTTGTTATGGGAGATGTTGGAGCCTGAGTTGCTGCACTGGAGGTTTCTCCTGGAGCTGATGTGGCTGAGGCACTTGTGCTACTTCCCTCGGTAGTCCTTGAGGTGCTGGCAGTACTGGTGGCTGGCGTGGGCACTGTTGTTGTGGGTGGGGTGATGGTTGTTGTACCTTCAGTTTGTGGAGGAGAGGTGCTAGTGGTGGTTGCAATGATGGTTGTGCCCTCTCTGGCCTGGGCCGTGGTGCTGGGGACACCTGTTGTTCCAGCAGTGGTTCTTATTTTGACTTGAGAGCTTGTTATGGGAGATGTTGGAGCCTGAGTTGCTGCACTGGAGGTTCCTCCTGGAGCTGATGTGGCTGAGGCACTTGTGCTACTTCCCTCGGTAGTCCTTGAGGTGCTGGCAGTACTGGTGGCTGGCGTGGGCACTGTTGTTGTGGGTGGGGTGATGGTTGTTGTACCTTCAGTTTGTGGAGGAGAGGTGCTAGTGGTGGTTGCAATGATGGTTGTGCCCTCTCTGGCCTGGGCCGTGGTGCTGGGGACACCTGTTGTTCCAGCAGTGGTTCTTATTTTGACTTGAGAGCTTGTTATGGGAGATGTTGGAGCCTGAGTTACTGCACTGGAGGTTTCTCCTGGAGCTGATGTGGCTGAGGCACTTGTGCTACTTCCCTCGGTAGTCCTTGTGGTGCTGGCAGTACTGGTGGCTGGCGTGGGCACTGTTGTTGTGGGTGGGGTGATGGTTGTTGTACCTTCAGTTTGTGGAGGAGAGGTGCTAGTGGTGGTTGCAATGATGGTTGTGCCCTCTCTGGCCTGGGCCGTGGTGCTGGGGACACCTGTTGTTCCAGCAGTGGTTCTTATTTTGACTTGAGAGCTTGTTATGGGAGATGTTGGAGCCTGAGTTGCTGCACTGGAGGTTTCTCCTGGAGCTGATGTGGCTGAGGCACTTGTGCTACTTCCCTCGGTAGTCCTTGTGGTGCTGGCAGTACTGGTGGCTGGCGTGGGCACTGTTGTTGTGGGTGGGGTGATGGTTGTTGTACCTTCAGTTTGTGGAGGAGAGGTGCTAGTGGTGGTTGCAATGATGGTTGTGCCCTCTCTGGCCTGGGCCGTGGTGCTGGGGACACCTGTTGTTCCAGCAGTGGTTCTTATTTTGACTTGAGAGCTTGTTATGGGAGATGTTGGAGCCTGAGTTACTGCACTGGAGGTTTCTCCTGGAGCTGATGTGGCTGAGGCACTTGTGCTACTTCCCTCGGTAGTCCTTGTGGTGCTGGCAGTACTGGTGGCTGGCGTGGGCACTGTTGTTGTGGGTGGGGTGATGGTTGTTGTACCTTCAGTTTGTGGAGGAGAGGTGCTAGTGGTGGTTGCAATGATGGTTGTGCCCTCTCTGGCCTGGGCCGTGGTGCTGGGGACACCTGTTGTTCCAGCAGTGGTTCTTATTTTGACTTGAGAGCTTGTTATGGGAGATGTTGGAGCCTGAGTTGCTGCACTGGAGGTTTCTCCTGGAGCTGATGTGGCTGAGGCACTTGTGCTACTTCCCTCGGTAGTCCTTGAGGTGCTGGCAGTACTGGTGGCTGGCGTGGGCACTGTTGTTGTGGGTGGGGTGATGGTTGTTGTACCTTCAGTTTGTGGAGGAGAGGTGCTAGTGGTGGTTGCAATGATGGTTGTGCCCTCTCTGGCCTGGGCCGTGGTGCTGGGGACACCTGTTGTTCCAGCAGTGGTTCTTATTTTGACTTGAGAGCTTGTTATGGGAGATGTTGGAGCCTGAGTTGCTGCACTGGAGGTTTCTCCTGGAGCTGATGTGGCTGAGGCACTTGTGCTACTTCCCTCGGTAGTCCCTGTGGTGCTGGCAGTACTGGTGGCTGGCGTGGGCACTGTTGTTGTGGGTGGGGTGATGGTTGTTGTACCTTCAGTTTGTGGAGGAGAGGTGCTAGTGGTGGTTGCAATGATGGTTGTGCCCTCTCTGGCCTGGGCCGTGGTGCTGGGGACACCTGTTGTTCCAGCAGTGGTTCTTATTTTGACTTGAGAGCTTGTTATGGGAGATGTTGGAGCCTGAGTTGCTGCACTGGAGGTTTCTCCTGGAGCTGAAGTGACTGAGGCACTTGTGCTTCTTGCAGTGGTCCCTGTGGTAGTGGCAGTACTGGTGGCTGGTTTAGGCACTGTGTATCTTGGGGTGATGATAGTGGTTCCTTGTGTTGAGGGTCCACTTGTTGTTCCTGTAGTGGTTGTTGTTTCTCGCTGTGGAAGCGTGGGGAGAGGAGTTGGTGTTGCTGCAGGTTGGGTAGCTGTTGTGGTTGTTTTTTCTCGGGCGTATGTTGTGGAGGTGCTTACAGTGGTTCCTGGCGGTGCTACTGTTGTCTGACAGTGTTTTCGGTCACAGCACAACACTGAGACCTCGTAGTCTAAGCACGTGGGGTACTTGACAGTCTGGTCCCTATTTCTGCACACAAGCCCCTTCTCAAGGCTACACTCAAATTTCTGTCCCATTATTTTCACAATTTTGTCAGGGTAATCTTTAGCTCGGCACTTTATGTCTTGTGGCTTCTCACACAACTCATACCCAGCAGCTCGGATGTTTTCAAATGTCTCTAAATCTCCATTTTCACTGCCTGGAGTAGGGGAGTCCACGTTAAACCACTGTGTCCAGGCACAGCGCTCCACCACACAGTTGTCTGTGGTATTGGAAATGCGGATAGTGGTCGTGGATGGGGAAGGCTCTGTTGTTGTGGGTGGGGTGATGGTTGTTATGCCGTCAGTCTGAGGAGGAGTGGTGCTAGTGGTGGTTGCAATGTTGGTTGTGCCCTCTCTGGCCTGGGCCGTGGTGCTGGGGACACCTGTTGTTCCAGCAGTGGTTCTTAATTTTATTTCATGGGTGGAGCCAGTAATTGGTGATGTTTGAATAGCAACAGTGGATAATACAGTTGGAAGAGTTTTTTCTGTAGATGTAGTGGTGCTTTCCGTGGTGGTTGTGGAGGTGCTGACACTGGTGGTAGCTTGGGTAGGCACTCCTGGTGTGGGTGTAGTGACAGTTGTGCCTTGCGTTGGCAGTGCAGTAGTACTGGAGATTATTTTGGTGCCATGAGTGGTTTCTGGTGTTGATTCTGGGGGAGTGGAGATAGTACTGGCTGATGATAGAGCTTGGGTTACCACAGTGGAGGTTTCTGTTGTAGTAGTTGTGCTTTGGTAACCTGTTGTTGAGAGTAGTGACGTCGTTGCTGTTATTGATATTTCCGTCAGAGGAGTTGTTTTTTCTCTGTCTCTCAGTGGTGTTGTAGTTATTTCACTCTTTTGTTTTTGTGTTGTTGGTATTATTGTTGTCTGTACTGTAAATGGTGTTGATTCTACTGCAGTAGTTGTGAATTGTCTTGTGGTTGTTGGTGTTGTAGTTTGTACATTAGAACATGGTATGTATCTGCAGCATGATACTCTGATTTCATAATTGTAGCACTGCTTAGATTCTTGTTTCTGGTTTTCGCATATTAATCCTCTGCTTTGACTGCACTCTATTGTTTGGTTAAGGCTGGTAATTTCAGTATCTGGGTGTTCTTTGGCTCTGCATTGAACATCGCTTGGGTTTGTACACACACTGTATCCTTTTTCCTTGAGATTTTGAAATGTTTCATTATCTCCACTGTCCTCTTTGTTTTCAGGCTGAGTGGAATCGTACCATTCTGACCACGTACAGACATTTTTCACACATACAGTTGTCACTGGTGTTGCAGTTGTAATTTCTGTAATTTAAAGAAGTAAACATAAATCTTGTCCGTTCTTATTAAAGAGAGTGGTAGGAAAAAATTATTCATATTCCATACCCTTTTTTTTGTTGTAAGTAATTTTTTTTTTATTATGTACTATTTTAATTTTAATGAACTTGCTTTGGCAGTCTCAAATTTAATTTCTAAAGCAGATTTTGACCTTTTGCCTGTATTATTATTCTAGTGGTACTTTCTTTGACATTTATTAAAAATTTTTGGCTAAATATAGGTCATCTGATATCCTTTGCACAGTTTGTCACTGCTTAGATAATAGATCACACAATTGCTATGGTATAAGTAGAGGAGGTTTTATTCTCCTTGGTATTATCTCTGTATTTATTTACACTTAACTGCATAACAATGCAGACTTTAAAAATATTTTTACCAGTTAACAACTTTTCTACTTAGTTCAATATTATCACATGTCACATATTTATAAATATAAAATATATACTTAACATATATGTATTTTATATATAGTACATTATAATAGATAATACACATATACTGTATATGAAATATATCATCTAATAGGTACTTTATTTTACTAAGACTTCATATTCCTGGCATTATGAAGATAATCATGTGGAATAGATATGACTTTCTCAATATGAATGTTACTTAATAGAAGACTTAAAGTTGAATAATTAGTTCTTGCTGTACAATTACTCAGAATTTGGTTGCTGTCATTAATTAACTTCAGGAATAATATATCAGTGTACTCCAGGAGTTGAAGGAAACTATTGATTTGGGTATTAAACACAATTAGGAAAGGTTCCAAAGAATGGTTATAAATAATTTAAACATTCCCTCAAACTAAATTTCTTATCTTCAGTTTGTGCTTATGTGCTCAGTAATTTAAGAAATGGCTGCAACTGCCTTCCATGTTTTCAGAAGCTGATTAAGAACTATTGAGTTATTTTGCAAAGAAATGAGAAGATTCTCCAGGATGCAGTGATTAATAAACTCTATTAATTTTTCCCCTGGGAATACCATGGTGAAACAGAGGAGACTGAATTTGTAAGAAATGCTGTATTCATTTCTACACCCTTAACTCTGGTCTGCCTTTTCAACTAAAGCAGTGTTGTGAATTGGTGGCTCCAGTAGAAGTCAACAGTTTCAAGTAAAATTATATACTATTAACTGATGAAAAGGTCCTACTTTTCAGTTTATTTTTAGTCACTTACAGAGATTTTTGAGTTATTTTAAAGATTATTCATGCATACCTGAAGCAGTAGTTGTGGGCTGACTTGTGGAAAATGTAAATGGGGTTGTTGTAAAAAAGCCACATTTAAAGATATTTCTGCTTATTGTTCCATTGACATCGCATGTTGCACTGAAACACCATCCAGTTCCATCTGTGGTGTTGTAGATGAGTTCACCATATTTATAGCTATTCTCTTCATAAATGCAGTTGCAAGCTGTAATTCAGAGGAAGTTTATTGTCAGTTCATGCATCTATGAAAAGATAGTATCCAGTATTTCTTTTTCTAAATAATTTTTCTTAGCTTTCTTACCTTTATCATCGAACTTGCACTGTAAACCTTCTGATGTGCACTCACTGAAACAGAAAGCATAAAAACCCATATGTTTTGTGATTGTGATGGAATTTTATTTGTCATCTTTCTGACAGGTAGTGGCACCAAAAGGCAAGACATTTTGTGTTTATTACTAGAGTGTTCTGTTCGTTTTGGCTCCTTTTTGGCCATTATTTTCCAAAGTCTTCCTTTATATTAAACCTGAACATATAAATAGAAGTGAAGTTAAATATTATGCAAAGTTAGAGGTAGAAGTCTTAAGGAAGACTTTCCTTTTTTCCTTCATATCACTTTCCTTGCATTTGCAATGTTTTGTACTGAATAGAAGGCAAAAAGGGTGAGTCTAAATGCTCAAATGATGCAAGTATGTAATAAAATCCTTGGAAGCAGGCCACTAATAAATATCTTTACTCATGACACAGCATTTTTCCTGCCACAAGAATGTGAAATAGAAATAGCCTAGTCATAAAGCACTTCTTGTTCTTGATGTATCTTTATGCTGAGGATTTACAATATAATCAGGAACAAATTCAATAGAACATAAAATCACATAAAACCTCCTTATTAATGTAGTAGGAAAACTGGCATTAGATAGTAAGGTATTATTTTTCCACAGGTAGCATGAACTGATCCTGCATGTAACAGCAACATACAACTTCCCCCTGGAGTTTTGATCTTTTTTTCCTTGTATATGATGAGTTTGGTATGTTAAGTCTTACCATATATTACATTCATCCCGTTTATATATCTTTCCATCCTCATCATCATAACAGTCACAGAGACTAACACACTTCATCTGATCCTCGTGAAAATATGGTTTGTCTGGTGGACAGTTAGGGTAGCAGCCTGAGGGTGGAAAAGGTAAGAATGAGATACACTCAGTGAAGGTTTTATTTGTGCCAAATGCATTTTCAGGTCTTGTTTTTAATAGTCATAATGTTTTTACTTTATGTTTTGCAATAGCTCTAGGAAGTAATGCAGAGTTAGTAGCATCAGCAGAGCCCGTCCGTAAGAACTTAGTCCTAGAGATCTTCTTATTCCAGTTTCCATACTCTGCCTCCATTCATGTGGATGCAATGATATTAGAGAAAACTGAATTGTGCAAATGCAGCTGATGGAGGAAATACACTTCATTAAAGACAATTCAAAATATAATAATATATACCCACTAGGAGGTATTTGCAGCTATTTTTACCTTCTAAACCTGGCAAGTCATTGAGACATTTTCCACTTGGATTCTTGCAGGTCTTCATACAGGAAGCACCACAAGGCTTATAATGCCATTCACATTCTCCTTGCTGATTGTAATAATCACAAAACAGTGCTGAGGAGAAACAGAAAGTTTAACATGTTCAGAAAAAAAAAAAAAAAGGCAAATAGTTTAAGCATTAAAAAAAATCTACACAGTGATATATTAATGCACATATGTAAGATACTGTACATTTATCTACACTTTCAGAAGTGTTTATGGCATAAAACTTACGACAAATTGTTGGGCTTCTCCAGGCTATGCATACACCAACTTCACTACATGCTTGAGCATAGGCAGCTACTGCTGTACAAAAGCAATCACAGTCTCCTCCAGTGTCACAGGCACAAGCGTCTGTCACACATGCTTGGTAATATTTTGCTGGTTCAACCTGTTATTAAACAGAAATATAATACTATGCATCCTGCCTTCTGAATGATTTCTTACCTTTGCTAGAGTAGTTTTCTTACAATTGTAGTATCCCAGAGGAAAAGCCTACATTGGTAATTTCTTTTTCAAGACACTGTAAGACACCTGAGGTGATGCCAAATGATACATCCAAATCATGTATTCCCAGATTTTTAGAAACCCAGACTTGTATCCTGGTGTAAGATTAGATAAATTTTCAAAAAAACATACTGGGCAGCTGCACAGTTACCTGACAACATTTGTTATGTGCTTAGTGTCAGGTAAAGGCTATGCTGATACTTCATTCCTATGTTATTATTTCATTGAGCTTGTCTTCTCTACCTTGTATGTAAGAATTTTTATTCCAGTCAAGCTGCAAGGAAATATATAGTAATTATGAAATTATTATTCTTTTGTAATTATTTTTCTTTTGTAAATGTCTTTTTATTTCTTACAAGTAGGGACTACAAATCTGTCCCATTGAGGGCAATTCAGGTTGGAGTTTTCCTGCCACAAGTTGAAGTGAAACATGTAAATAAACAAGGCATGCATGTTAAAAGCTAGGAGAAGAGCACCTTCAGCAACCCACAGACTTAGTTTTCACACAGTAAACTTCTTCCCTGGTAGTACCTGAGAGTGACAAGCAGAAAAGACATTGCTGTTGATGATGCTACACTGCTTCTCTGACCAGGACTTCCGATAAGGGTTGGCAGAACATGGGTCCTTGACACTGGAAGCATCAGGGCATGTAGAGGATACCTTCCAGCTGTTTCCAAACTCTAGGACATTCTCTACTACAGACTGACTCCTTGTAGTAAAGTCATTGATGCTGTTGCCATCATAATTTCCACAGAGACCACAGACCTGGCCCTGCAAATGGAAGTAAATAAAAGAATAACAGATGTGAGAAAACTTGAAACAAAATCTGAGACTGAAAGAATAGAATGGTGGCATTCCATTATATCAGTCCTGAACATCTTCATACTCTGGAATAGAGGAACAGAATAAGACCACTAAGGCTAGAATTATACTGTCCTTAATGGTTTTCTTTCAAATATGAACAATAAAACCATCTTCATCATCATAACCTTCTGACCTTGAGGTGTATTTTTGACAAGGAAATGAGGACTCACAGCTAATTAAGCTTTTCATTTAAGCCTTGTTTTATACAATAGCTATACATATAAAAAAACAACCTTCTAACTATTAAGTATTACCAATTCAGCCACCTAATCTATTAGTTGAGTCTTCACCATTAAGTCTGGTCACAGGTATATTTCCTTTGTGCATCCAGAAATATCCCTCGTTCTGAATGCATGGATCTGCACAACTGTGAGAGGCTGCAATACATGTTTTCTCTATGAAACAAGGTGCATGCTTTTCATATTACTACTATTTCTATAAAATGCCAGTGAGTGAGGCAGGAAAAGAACCTATGGTACTGAAAGAAGTCAGTATATATAGTTCTAAATTGCACTTAGTTTAAATACCTATTTTAAATGTCATTGTGGTGTGCAATAAGATAGTAAATTCCATATTTCATATATATTCCATATATTAGTGCTTATATATCATACATAATAAGGAGTTTGAAAATTGGAATTATTTTTCTTATCATCTGTGCAGTTACATGCTAGACAAATACTTGGTGGCATTACAAGAGGCTTTCACTCATAATATTCACTTATAATATGCTTCCTTGTTCTTGAAGTGTGATAATATGTGTGTTAATGAGAACTAGAAACAATGGATTAGTTTCAAGATCAAGCCTATTCAGTTGATTTTTACACATGTAGTTATGTATTTTAATAAGGCTGATAACCTTTAACAAGGTTCAGTTTGTAATTTCAACAAAGTCAAGTCCAAAATAGCATTTTGCCAACTCAAGTTCTGTCAGGCCAAATAGGCACAGGAAGCTGCCTTCTAAGCTCAGAACAGCAGCAGGATGATGACAAGGCTTCCCGAGGTACCAGAGGAATGGAAAGCTACATGGGATGAACTGCAGGAATGCTAGAGACATCACTATTTGGGATCCTGGCAAGGTCTCAAGAAGATTCACACCCAGTCAAACCTGGACAGTAAATTGCCACTGAACTGCTAGTACCTTGAAACTAGGGCTGAGCTTGATGAAGATGCTTGTTTTCTTGTCCCACATGAGGATCAGTCCACTTTTGGTCTCAACTACCAAGTACATTCCCATGGAGCGGACTGTGTATGGCACCTTGTCATTCTGTCCTCTCTTTACAACACTGACATGCTCTTCACCAAGGATCAGTTCATAGCTCTGAAACAGGAGGAAAAGGTATGGAGAAATGAGCTCAGGGGCTGAAACTGTGCTCTCAAACATGTTTTTCTGCTTTTAAGAGTACTATGAATAGTTTATATCATGAAAAATAAGCAAAATACAATAAATCAAAGCAATATAGTTCAAATCTCAGGTTCCTGGAACTGTGGTAACAGATATTTTAAATGGTGTAGGTAAAAAAAAATGTCTTTTGACTGTCATGGAGGAACTACATCACATACAATAAAAGGTTAAGGTAACATAATAGGTTAAGTTTCTGCATTTAGACTTTTATTTTTCTCAGGGATGACGTAAGATAGTGTGGGAAGTGAAAAACATAGAAAGGTAGGAAGGTCTACCAAATATTTCACTTGAATCTGATGTAAACCTAATTTAATAGTTGAATTGCTTTTTAAAATATTTTCCAAATTCTTTGAAGCAATAGAAATCTAGGCTTCTCCTAAACCTTAGCAGGTACAAACCAAAACTGGTGTATATGCAAAACCTTCTTACCTCTAAGAAAACTTTGATAGATTTTGAGCAAGTTGTCCCAGTGTTGCCACAAGGAATATTTTCAGTGACAACCCTGAAGGTCCCATTGACTGTGCTACTTTTTCCACAGTGGTCCTGGGTAGAGAATAACATTTAAAAATATATTATTTTTACAGATACGATCAAAATTACCTCTCGTTTTCTACTGCTAACTATCAGTACCTGGACTAGTGTGTATTCACAGTTTCCATTGAAGCTGAACCTTTTGTCATCAAAGGTGTTATAATGGCCATCTCCATAAATAGCACAAGTGCCCAGACATTGATCTTTGGTACATTCCCACTTCCTATTCTTGCATACACTAGGGAAAAAAAAAAAAAAAAAAAAATTAAATATTTTAATAATAAAACAACTCACTCTTTTGTGTAGACATATCTGAACAATCAGTAATTGTTTGGCAACCTGTCCCTGCCAAATGTTATATTGATTCTGGAAATAAAATAGTATTTTACATTCTTCATGTAAAGAATTAAAGAAGAGTTCTGTTCTGCTACCTGAATACCTTAACTTCAAAACAAGATATTTAATGAACCCTGTAGTCCTAAAGGTTTCCTCCCATTCTGTGCTTTGGCCATCTGACAGATATCAGAAGGCAACGTTCTCGTACCGTGTAATCCAAAACTAAAAGATCTAAAATCCATCAGCTGATTAAATTTGCAATCCAAATCTTTCCTTGCTCTTGTACTATGTAAGGTCTTTAGAAAGGCAAATCATGGAACCAGGAGTGCTGTTTCTGCAGATACACTCACCAGGTGTTACAGTCGAAGTTGATCTTTTCCCCAGGCTGATACATGGCTTCATTGTGGATACATGGACATTCTTCTTCAGGAATGCAACCACCATTCCCATCTAACACAAGCCCATCTGGGCACACACAGCCAGATGTACATTGTGAGCTATACTGGAAAAGATAAGAGAAAAACATAATTTTAGAGTGAAATGATCACAATTAGAAAAAGGAAGATTAAATTCTTGCCTTAGATGGTCTTATTGCTGCCCAGCTTATATAGGAGAGAACTGTGAAATAATTAAAGGATAATGGAACAAAAAAGAAGTTATTAGCCATAGATTTAATAGAATATAAATCTGTTAAAGAAAAATGTTTTATGTATACCAATCCTGATGGTTCTGCTGGAACCTGTGAAATTTAAAACGTATTGGATCTTGCACTTTGTAGTGTGGAATTTTTGATTGAATGGACTTTTAAAAGAAAGACAAGTAATATTTTTTTCAGTTTGGCTAAGTTATATTTAAATCTATTTATCTCATATGGTACTTACCCATAAAATGGCATGTGGCTGCCTAGAACTTAAAGCGGAGTAACATAATTAGATGTGCAATAAGTACATAACTGCAGCATGGTATGAGAAGTATGGTGTTTCTCCTAGCCAATTTTTAGCTTTTCCTACAGAAGTCAAACAAGTGGTAGAGCCCTAGATTTTTCACTACTAGTTACTGTCAACTGCAGTAGCTAAAGAAAGGTAGACACTAATCTTAAGAAGTAATTTGGATATTATTTATTATACTTTAATCCAAGGGTTACATTGTTAATGTTTTATAACATCATTTTAGGACTTTTTCGACAAGAATAATGTATCTGTGTTGTAGATTTGGGCTAGATCCAGTAGATCAATTCCTTTAGCAGCAAGAGCACAGACAAAACCAGGAAGCACCATTTCATTGGGCCATGACATACTTACACATTGCATATCCAGAGTCTGGCAACTTTTTTGACATTCTGCTCCAGTTGTTCCTGCTGTGTTGTTTTTACAGTCAAAGTAGACCATGGGAGATTTACAGACTAGAGGAAGGAAAGAAGTGACACATTTTAGGGTTTATTCCACAGCTGTAGCCATTTAAACCATCTATAAGTTCTTTGGAAATTCCCTATTTCATTTAGTAGAGATTATTGTCCCCATTCAATCTGCTGATTAGATTCACTTCAGAGCACTGGATTCCCCAAAAAAAGCCCCCACAAAATATTTCAGAAAAAAAAGTCTTTATGTAAAAAGAGGTTTTATGACTAATCTAGTTCACTCCTGCCTTTTATGATAACTGTAGCATTATGACTAAGTGAGAAATGCTTCTATTAAAAATCCATTTAGAAGAATCAATTCTATGAACTATTCTGTGCAAGGCTTGGTAAAGAGAAAAAAGTTAGTTTACCTGGAGTTTCATTTGGTTCTCCAATGCAATTCAGTCTTCCCTTGACACAAGTGCTGTGAGAGAGAGAAAAACAATCTATTTTCTTCTCTCCTCTCAAACCAAATTTTGAGATTGAGAGCTATTTATCCTTTGTCAGGTTTCAGAATTTTTAAAGAAATTCCAAAAACCTGTTTTGCAGTCTTAGGAAAGAATTTCTCTTGTATAATACCACTGCACATGCTGCTTTCATATGATATCCGTTGTTGCTTAGTACAAAAATTCATAGGTTGTAATTCATATTTGTCACTGCTTGTTACTTACATTCTCATAAGATCTCTTCTTGCTGGTGTTGTTGTAATTTTATACTTGAAGGATTATGAAATTAAATAAAAAAATGCACCAAAATACAATTGCACTATCAATCTAGAAATACTACAGAATCATAGAAGCCTTAAGGTTCAAAAAGACCCTTAAGATCCTCAAGTCCAACCATCAACCCAGCACTGCCAAGTCCACCACTAAGCCATGTCCCTAAGTGCCACGTTTGCATGGCTTTTGCAGGGATAGTGACTCCACCACTTCCCTGGGCAACCTGTTCCAGTGCTTGACAACCATTTCAGTACAGAAATTTTTCTTAACATCCAATCAGAACATCCCCTGGTGCAACTTGAGGCCATTTCCTGTCACTTAGTACTTGGGAGAAGAGGCTGACCCACACCTCACCACAACCTCCTTTTAGGCAGTTTTAAGGAGTGTGAGTATCTTTGCTGAGCCTCCTTTTCTCCAGGTTAAATGACCTCAGCTGCTCCTCATAACACCTGTGCTCCAGACCAGCTCTGCTGCCCTTCTCTGAACATACTCCAACACCAAAATGCCTTTCTTGTAGTGAGAGGCTCAAAACTGAACACAGGATTTGAGGTGCAGCCTCACCAGGACGAAGTACAGGAGGACAATCACTTCCCTAATGTCAAAGGCTTTACTAAAGTCCAGGCAGACAGTGTCCACAGCCTTTCCCTCATCCAATAAGCAGGTCACCTTGTCATAGAAGGAGGTCAGGTTGGTCAACTAGTAGCTGCTTTTCCCAAACCCACGCTGGGTAGGCCTGATCCCCTGTTTGCCCTGTGCATGCCGTGTGCTGGCACTCCAGACAATCTACTCCATGTCCTTCCCTGGCAGCAAGGTCAGGCTGACAGGCCTGTAGTTCCCCAGATCCTTCTTCTGGCCCATACTGCAAATGGGCATCACATTTCCTGACCTCCAGTCAAGCAGGACCTCCAAGGTTAACCAGACTGCTGACAAATGATTGAAAGTGCCTCTGTGAACACTTCCACCAGCTCCCTCAGTGCCCTTGGGTGGACCCCACCATAGAATTGTGTGTATTTAAACAGTGTAATAGGTCATTAATCTTTTCACTTTTCATTTTAGTGGCTTCATTCTGCTCTCTGTCCCCATCCGGCAGCTCAGGGGAATATGTACCATTTGTAAAAGTTGAAAATAAAGTTAAAATAACTTAAAGTTGAAGAAATCAAAGAGAGAGCATTCTTTTGAAATTCAAGGTGAAACCATCTTACACATACCAGACTTTAACATGTTGTTTGAATGTTTTTAAAAAGAGTCACTTACCATACACGCCCGTTTTCATGGACCACTTCTCCAAATGGTATAGGAGATCCTCTGTAATAGCAGGGGCATTCATTAGCAGGCACACATTTGCCACTCTCATCCATGTAGGTTCCATTTACACAAGTGCAGCCATCAACTGGGACAAACTTAATATTGCATGTGACATCAGGCTCACTCAGAGACCGGCAGGTGGGTTGACAGGAAGAGATGGTATAGCTGTAGCTCAGGGATTTGGGACATGAAGTGGTGTATTTTGCTTGAGAGAGGAAAATAAAATAAATTGTTAATTCCAGACAGTAAATCCTCTTGTGAAAAAAGAAAAATCATAGGCAATAGAAAAAACATGTAAACAATACAGATATCAGATATCTGCTTATGTTGCATCTTTCATGTAAATGTGTTTCTGAGTAATTTCAGAGTTTGATCTGAAAAGCTATTGTACATGTGGAGTAAATGATGCATGCAAAGAAGAAAAAAATTTTTCAAATGGAAGTTCAGAAGGACACCTCCATTTGGTGCTGCCATTCATTGCCAAGATGTCTAAACTTCTTGAGGACTGAGACAAGATGTCTCCCTGAATGTTGTCTGGTATGGTGAAAACAGACATACTGGGTAAGCAGAATCCAGCATGCAGCTTCAAAGACATTTAATTTGTGAGTGTTCTGGTCTGTATTACTAGTACTGTTATTCTAATAGAAAACATTATCTCTGCAATAACTTGTGATACTTTTAAAGCTGCAGTAAAACTCTAAGTTGCACAGACACAGGTGGAGGCACTTTCATAACAACAGTCCCTTTCCTAATCAAGCCACGTCTCCTGTCTATTCATATTCACTCTTGCCAGCAATTGATTGATTCCAAGGGGACAGCAGAGAATTACTTCCAGGAGTGCACTTAACAAAATCCCTTCCTCATTACTTACTGATTTGTCTAGAAATGAGTAGAAAATAATCTCTGATCAGCAATTTTTATTGATGTGTGTTCTTAGGAAATGGGAAAGTGGAGAGTACTTACAGCAGACATCAGTCCTCCATCCCTGCAGCTGGATTCCTTTTGCAGCACAAGCTCTTACATAGGCAGACAGGGCTGCACACAGACAATCTTCACTATTTTCACAGTTACATGTGTCAAACATGCAGTTCTAAGAATGGAGAGAAAAATAAGGTCTCAGCACTGGTAATAAGTCTTAAAAAAACAGTGAACTTTATCTTTCCAGTCTTATTCCTTATACCTTCTTCAGATATGCTCACTCATAATACAACAGTAACACAGTTTTATCACTTTCTAGTCTTTGTCTAAGGTTCCTGGGCAGGGGAAAAAGCAGGTAATGAAAATTCAGTCAATTACTGCAGTTATAATTAGGAAACAGTGGTCTTAAAGTCTCTTATACATTTTGCAGCATCTTGGTTCTCCGAACCTTATTAGTGGATATGCTGCATAACAGCATCCAAAGCTCTACTCACAATGTACAGTCCAGACACATAATTTCACCAGCGTTGATACCTGGGTGACTCCTAGTGAGAAGAGTGATTTGCAACACGTTGACAGCAGAGTGATGGTAATTAGGTAATGGGCTTTCTGTTCCAAGTGGTTATTAATGAGATGCCAGGCTGAAAAGGTGTCAATTGACTGATATTCAAACAAGCATCTGACATGCCTTTAAATACACTATCTGCCTTATGTGTAAAACCATCCAGGAGTAAATAGCTACCTTTACATCAGCAAACAAATCAGGATCTTCAAGCCAAGACTGACAATCGAAATAATGTTACGACACAAAGAGAAACAATGAAGGAAGGAAGTACTGCAGTACAGCAATGGGGATAACAGACATTTCATAAGACATGTCTGGGGCAGCTCCTATTTCTATTGTTCCCAAAAGGAAAAGCAGTCTGACAAAGTACCGTGTGGTAAACAGTGGGATTCACTGTGTAGTGACAAGCAGCAAAAGGTCCTGTGGTGTCAGTGAGTAGTCCACACCAATGCTGAGCATATTTTTCTGTGAAAAGAAGAAACAATAAAAATGCATGCTAGTCTTTGTACTTCATTAGTCACAAACCCATGCTGCCCTGGCCTATGCAGACAGTTCTGACATTCTATTAAATCTCTTCTTCTCCTGTCTTTTTTTTTTTTTTTCTTTTCACTCAGCTTGCTGGTCAAGGTTTTCCTAAAACCAAAGAAGAGGACTTGCTGAAGGGGATGAATTAAAAGTTTCCAAAGATGCCCCTGCAATCCACTTCTCTGACACCAAGTTGTCAGCTTGGACATCTACTCTATTTTTAGTAACTATTTGCAGTTTCCTTCACTTATGCTTCTGTCACTCTTCTTTTACATTGTTACTTATCTTCAATGCTTTCATTTTGAATATTTGTTTCCAATTTCAGATGTATGTTTCTACTAAATACATATTTTTTTACCTTTGCTTTCCAACAGATGTGTTTTCCTTAGAGATAAGCAAAAAGATAAAAACAAACCAGAAGAAATTCTAAGAAGTACTCACCGTTATCAATGCTGAGTGCACAAGGATTCTCAAAACTCTGCTGGATATTAGGGCATGAGGCCTGAGTTTTCCATGTATTAGCAAATGCTGATGCAGTTCCTTCAATTATTCCACTTATGACCTTGAAGTCATCAGTTTGAATGTTATTGAAATTTCCACAGAGACCTGTTGAAAAGCAGTGAAAAGTTTATACTGCTTTGACTACAAAAAAAGACATTGATCAAGGTGTCCTCATATTTCAATCACTCACCACAAGTCTGGTTTTTGAAAGAAGCATCCAGATGCACAAACACTTGCATCGTGGGTATGAACTGTATTTCAACCTGGACGCCAAAGCTTGTGTCCATGATCATGAAGAATGAGGAAGGTCTGAACATGGTGACATTAGCTACACATGAGAAACAAAATGGTCACTTTTTGAACAAGACCAAATGCTGAAAACACAGCACTGTTCTTTTTGAATTTCAAATAAAGATCTGGAGGTCTGAGATATCACATGGAATCCTTAGTTATTGAAACAGAGAATAAAAATAAAATTTCTTTCTAAACAAGTGTGAGAACAGGGGTAGTAACAAAAGACAAAATAAAAGAGGTAAAGAGATGTCTTCTGCCTTCACCTCTGTGCAGTGAGAAGGAAGTAAATCTGAGAGTTATCAAACCAGGAGACTGTAAATTCTGTTTGCTACAGTTTGAATCCTTGCCTGTGCTTGTCCTGCATTTCTCTATGACACCAAACGTCCCACTTTACTTCAAAAGCACTTGTGTCATTCATTGTTAGAGAAAACATCTACCTGCTGACATGGGCAGCTGGGTGTAGATGGAGTTCACAAACACACCACCATCAGGTTTGACCTCGACAATCTGGTAAGGAAGAGGAGCAAAAGGCAACTCTGTGAGTCATAGACTGGTTTGGCTTTTAAAGGTCATTCAGTTCCAACCCCCTGCCATGGGCAGGGACATCTTTCACTAGACCAGGTTGCTTAGGGCTGCACTCACCCTGACCTTGAACACTTCCAGGGATGGAGTATCCATAACTTCTCAGGGCAACCTATACCAGTGCCTCACTGTAACTTTTCTCTAAAAAATCCTTTTTCTGTTTCTCTGTTTCTGCTGCATCTCTTCTGTATTTTTCTTTTTATTCTTGGATTTCTCAGCCTCCTTTGGACTGAATTCTTTTGGGATCCTCCCTCATGGCGAGCCCTGCTTATCTCAGTTCTTACGATTTGAAGAAAACTCCTGAGCTTGTTAGAATCTTGTTTCTCATGTTTATTAAAAGGTCATCACAAAACTTGACAGGTTTCTCCAGGCTGGCTACACAAGGTTAATCTTTGCAATCTGGTACATTTCTTTCTTCTGACGGTACAACAAGGCCTTGCGGCACACTTCGTGTCTGATGCACAAAATGGCCCCGAAACACGCAGTTCTTTTATCTTTATACCTATTTTTACCCAATTAACAATAGACATGTATATTATTTTTCTTAATGACCCAATGACCCATCACCTCTGTGATGCACTGCGGCATTCTCTGTCCAATCACTTACCCAAAAACCTCTAGCAGAAGAACACGAAGAAGAAAGAAGAAGGGACAAGGGACAACACCCTAAATCTTCCATCTTGTCTCCTGTTCTCTAAACTAACTTTTTCACACAGTGATTTTAAAAAACTTTCTAATCTACACACTTACACTTTTAGCTTTTTCCATCTAACTTTAACATTTGTTTTCATATATCACGATGAAAACATGCTCATGAATTTCATATTATATGAAATTCAGTGTTTTTCTGGATCTTATAACTAAGTATCAGAAACAAGGGCACACACTCTGTATTCCAGACTCAAACACCTCACCACCCTCACAGTAAAGAATTTCTTCCCAATTTCTAAACCTTCCCTCTTTCAGTTTGAAGCCACTCCCTCTTGTCATATGACTTTGTGCCCTGGTAAAATACCCCTCTGCAAAGCTTTCCTTTCTCCAGGCTGAACAGCCCCAAATCTCTCAGTCCTTCCTGACAGGAGAGGTGCTTCATCCCTGTGTTTGTCTTTGGCCTCTTCTGGACCTGTTCCCACAGGTCCATGTTGTTCTTATGCTGGGGACTCCAGAGCTGGATGCAGCACTCCAGCAGGGTCTTCCCAGAGCAGAGGGGAAGAATCCCCTCCCTCACCCTGCTGGCCACACTCCTTTGGAAGGAGCCCAGGCTGGCCTGGGCAGCCAACCATGTGTCAAGAACAACTATAGTCCAAAGAGTAATAATGAGGAGGACTCCAGTGATATTAATTAAACCAATATTCAATACAGAGGGTGGATCTTTATGATTTTACCTGTCCCTTATTCCTACTTGGTACACTTTTACTAATTTTCCCTAATTTTCTAATTAAAAGAAAATAATTACTTTTAAAGGGACTTTCTCGGCTTTTTAGGGGATTACATCATCTTGTTTTCTTTGAATACATCTTAGTGATTATTACAACTGTTGTAATCATAATTACTAACCTTTAAGCTCATAGTTTTTTCCATCTAATTGGCAGAGAAAATAGGTGTTTTTTCTGCTATATGAGTCAATGTGTTTCTTAATGAAATTCCACAAGGCCAAATTTATGGCTGATCTGATTTTCATAAAAAAATCCACTTCTTTTCACTTAATTAAAATATCATCTACTCATCACATATGCTGAAAACCTGACAAAGAAATGCAGCTCCCTGACTGATTAAGCCCTAGTTTCTTTTCTCCCCATGCTTATTTTTATTGTGCTTATTTTGCATTCTTACAGTTTGTCCTTTATTCATGTTGAGGGTCACTGACTTTAAGCAGGTCTCAGTGTCAGTTAGGCCACACTTGCGTAGTTCTGCCAGGATGGTAAATTTTTCATCTTTACAGTCCTGAAAAAAAAAGTCAAGTTATTTCATGGAAGACTAATTACAGAAGTTTTCTCTATAAAATTTTCTCTCAATTCTGAAAAAGTGGTTTTTTTGGTTTTTTTTCTGGAGAAGATCCAGGCTGTAGTGAATTCCAGAGCTTCTTTTGCTGAAGATTTAATTTTGCCCTGTTCAAATTATTAGGAACAAGAAATGTAGAATCTGGATTTTATAGATTATATCCATATGGATATCAAGATGGAGTTCCATATTCATATTTGGTGGTTTTATTCATGACAACTTCTATTGTTTGATTCAATTCTACTGTAACTCTCATCTTTCTGTATCTGGTATCAGTGCTAGACAACTCAGATAAAACATGTTTCAGGTGAACAGTAACATACAACATTTTATTTCCTTTTACAGATTTATGCAGATGGGGGAAAAAAGAAAGCAAAAAAACAGAAAAAGCCTATAAAAGGTCAAAACATTTTACCTACACATGTCTGTAATTAAATATTTTAATTATAATTAATTTCCAGATTTTCTATTTGAGTTATTTTTAAATGTTTAAAAATGTTTAAAAGCTAAGTGAAATGCATCAATTAACTTAGGTGTTTTTCTGTATTTAAATCCCACAGAAATGAAAAAAAGTCTGTCTAATAATACAATTTTTTTATAGAAATAGTTACTGTAATTTTTAGAGTTGTACCCTTTGGCCAAATACCATATAATAGAGTAACATGGCAAAAAATATGCAACCCAGTAAGAAAGCTGCATTAGTTGTACTGAAGGTTGCACACTAAGCAAATTCTTAAAAAAGACAGTGCTCTTCAATTACTCTGTCACAGAACTGGAAATTTTCCAGTGAGCACCACACACAGTTGTGTGACATCCTAATAATTAACTGAGGATTGTCACTGAAATGGCAGTGTAGCAAACTCCTGGCTAAGTGGCAGGGAATTTAATGTCTGTATGTTAGGAGTGCTAAGTTTTATGAGTGTTGATCAAGATCATGTTTTCTTTCTATAAATCTATAAGGTTTTACGACCTAGAAATATCCTCTAAGTCCCACCTTAGAGAGGACGTAAGTGCAACCTCCATGGTGATCGTAGTGCTTCTTATCATATGTGGAAATGTGGGAACCCCCCACTACAGAGCATGTTCCTGGGCATGACTTGTCTTGGCAGCTCCACTGGCCTCCATTACAGGTACTGGAAGAATAAAGTTAAGTGAAATCAGTAACAGTGGTCCAGAGTAAGAGGACATGCAGCGCTGTTAGGTGTAGCTGCCTTGCTCTTACTTTTCCCTTCAAGCTGTGGTTTGACACACAGGTTTAAACGTTTCCAAGACACGATGAACTTGTGATGCAGCATATTAAAATCAATGACTCTGGTAACCATTCTCTTTGCATATTTAATTTTCCCTCTTTGGACAAGTGAACTCTCCAAAACAGGTTTGGGATAAATAATTGTGTGGATTTTTTCAGGTAGCATAAAGCAAATGACATGTTAAAATACCTTCTGGGGGTTTTGTTTTGGTAATACAAATGTATCATAAACTAATATCTAATGTCTAAGAAAAGACAACTCCACGTCTGCTCCTGATGCAGACTGTGTCTATTTTCTAAGCTGATGTGTAGAGCACAGGTACAGGATTAATAATTGTGAAATTGAGCTTGTGTTGTGTCATCCATTGCTTTCTCCAGAGAAAATAAATATTTGCAACTGCATTAATAACTACCATTTCATCCCCCTTGGAGAATTCCAAATGTTTCAACAAAATAATCAAAGAGGAAGCATTTTAATTGACTGGTGAGAAATCTAAAAATTGTATATCCTTGCTCTGATCACCATAAGATAGGATGCAAAGCTAGTAATGGCTGTTGCTAAATAAAACAATGTTCTTTAGGAGTGCTTTGGAAATGTAGCCATCTGTAAAATACACATCTCAATGATGCAATTGCATATAATAAACTATTAAACCCATTAAAAATAAGAGAGTAAATAGTGAGTTACAAAAGTAACAAAGGTTACCAGGTCTGGCATGGCTCTGAAAAAGAAGATCCTGTAGCATAGGTTTTGCCATTGTAAATACAGGAGCACTCCTGCTGGGGAATGCAGCCAGAATTGTTGATGTCATCAAACAGGGTCCCTAGTTTAAAAAAATAATAATAAAAAGACAAAACCTTGATCAATTAAAGAGGCATTTCCTATACACCGTTTCATTTGTTACAAATCCTAAATATTTTCTTAGCAAGGGACCTGCCTTTGTTGCAGTGGACACACCAGTGTTGAGGACAGCAGGACTATGTCAGTTTGCTGAGTGAAGTATCCAACCTTTGTATTCTTAAATTGCACCTGCCCTGAAAGAGGGGCTTGTTGTAGCACAGGTGGCTGGTTGAAAGGTTGGTCTTGATCTGTTTGCTGTTCTTTTTTCTGTTTTCTGAATACTGCACATGTATTGGCAATTAATTCAGACATCTTTTTTCAGCTGACAAAATGCTTGTCACTTGCAGCTGTGAAAAATACAACTACATGAGACTTAAATCCCATGGAACCTACCCAAAACCTACAGGTAAACTCCCGTTCTTTGAGGTCAGTGATGTGACTACTTAAGAACTTGCCTGGGGGACAGAAGCAGCCATCGATACAGTGCTCTTCACAAAACAGAGATCGTTCAGGATTTGTGCATGTATCAGCACAGGGAGAGTTGCACTCCTGGTACTGCATGTTGTAAGGACACTTCTTGGCTGAAATTTAAAGGAAGAGATTTTTTTTTTTTCAGTCAAAAGCATTTCTAGTTCACTATAAATGTAAATATTTATATCCATTTAGGTTTTCCAGCTAGATTAAAAAACCACACCAATCTGCAAATTGACCACTAGCTCTCAAAATTTGCAAGTTTAACCACCTAGATCCCTATTTCATAGCTGAGATGCACATTCCATGACTCTGGTGCTGAACTGGCTCAATTTCTGGGGACAGCAAGGTAACGACCTCAGAAAGCCAGCAAGGCCTGTTTCTACTGGAGGTTCCCTTTCCTGTGAACACCTGTATTGCTAGTGAAATGTAAGACTTAAATTCCTAAAGCTATAGTACCTCATGGGCTTTTGTTTTGGAGCAAATGTTGGTGACAGTATCAACAGCTACCCACTACAATCAAGTATATGTTTAAATCAATACAAACTCATCACTACCAAGCAAGAGGAGATAAATAGGTGATTAGCCAGCCATACACCTGTGAAGATCCAATCAGTTAATTGAAAACATTAAATGCTGTAGCCACCACGAGGAGAGGAAACAGGAATACACGCAAGCCAGTATGCCCTCCTTCTTATTTCTCCTTTATTTGCTTCCTTCACTGTACCAGTTCATTAAATTACACCTTGACTCTCATTAGAGTATCCATGTCAGTGTTTTGGTAGTGTTTAATTCAGTTTACATTAAAATCCTCAGCTCTTTTGCTGAAGTCTTCATGCTGGAACTTATACATCAGCATTTTCTAAAGAATTCGGTCTTGAACAACCTGTAATTCCTCCTACATCCTCAGCATTATTTGAGAGCTTGTTGTTTGTTAGTTACTGAGCATGAAGTACAGCTGTCTCCAGTGATACTCACGGCACAGTTTTGAAGTTCTCCAGTCCAGAGGCTGCCCACCAGCATGAGCACACTGCCGGGAGTACTCAGCAAAGGTGTCACAGATGCATGAGCTGTTTTTAGATTCTGCAGAGCGGCACAAGTCATCTTGGCAAATCTTAATGTAATCTTTAACATCAACTAGGTCATTACATTCTGCAAATGCAGAGCTGGTCAATGTTTTCTCGCATATGTCATCCTTTGGAGGAAAAAAATAGACAAGTCTCAGTAAATAGAAAGAAGTTTATGGGGGTGGTATTGTTATTTTGTGTAATTATTATGTAATGGAATCTTACAGCCCTCTTTAAGTTGTTTTTGCCTAAGGAGTTTTCCTATTGATATGTATGAAGTTGTAGAAGGGAACAGATAAATTTGAAAGAAAAATAAAAGGTTAGTCAAAAGATCCTTACAAGATTATCAGGGCAGTTATATGTCGGGAGAGAAGTGGAGTCTTCACAATGTTCTGTTGGCCCATCCATTTTCTGCATATTCCCAAACTGCAAGGCTGTCATCTTAATATCTGTAGAAAAGAAGTTTAATAATGAAGATCAGAGGTTTCTGTTCAAAGCAACTGCCTGTTATCCTTTTTTTTCTCTCAAGAATTTGGGTCAAGACTGACCAAAACAGTTAGCTCTTTTAAGCCTTTAAATGTGTTCATCACCCCTTCCAAAGGAAGCACCACATCACTTCCTCAGTTTACTCTGTACAGCACCCTGGAAGAAGTAAACGTTGGAAAACAATTCTTAACCTATTACACCTAGATGCACACTAAGATTTTTCCCAGAATAATAACAAACTCTTTTCAGATTATATTGAGCCCATGCACGGCAGAGAAAAAAAAGTTCTAAATGGGAATTTGGACAATGGAGACTGCTGTAAGACAAGGTTTAGGAAAATACCCAAGCTGGGAATAGTTTAAAGGTTAAGATTTTACAAAGATTATGCAAATCAGCAGGGAAATGTGGATATACTGATTTCGAGATAAAAATGAAACAAGAAATGTACTGTATAGAAAATATAATTGCCTTTTATTGAATATATTTCTATATTTATTTATCTTATTAGTGAAAATCTGCTAATTTTTATGGAGTTACCTGATTAGTTTTACCAGCATGGTGTACAACAGTGCAGTTATATGCAATGTAAACTGATATAATCAGTTATATGCAATCAGTTGTTAACACTACTATATTTACACTCAAAGTATTAACTTATATAATCTCTCTACTACACATTTTTAAATAGAGATTGAATCATATCTTATGAGCAAATCATTTAACAGGATGGGAAAGAGGAATGCTGATGATGTCAGAGCCTGTTGGAGATCCCATAAACCAGTTTTTTTTTATTTAAAACACTTACTGTTTGAAATGAACTCATTGTATATGGGAAAGCCATTGAAGTCACCACAAAGTCCACAAGTCTGATTGGCATATTTTGCATTCAATTCCAGCTAAAATGATGAATAGTAAGTTGATAGAAGTTAGTATGAATATTCTAAAGTATATTCAAGATGAGAAAAAACACATCTCTCTCTCAGTATTTCTTGTCAGATCTGTGGAATTTTATTTAGCAATTTAATTCAAATGTGAAGGATAGAATACAGAGTCAGCATAGATTTGATTGGAGAGTCTAAGCTATTGATACTATTGACACAGACTTCAGATTTCATGGTACTATCTATATTGTTCTCAGCAACTTTCTATTGGTTCTTCAGGAAGAAAATCAAATCCATAGAAAAAAATGAAGGCAAAGGAGAGTGAAATTCTGCTAAAAATATATATTTGAAGGGGTAATTAGGACCTATAATAATACCAATAGCTAATGATACGATGAAAGTGATTTTTCATCCTGTTTAAGCAGATTCCTGCTATCCACTAGGCATAAATCCATGTAATTTTATTTAGGAGTCCCAGGATACAAGCCTATCTTTACTAAGAAAGAATCACTCAACAGTATGAGATAAGAAGGCAGTAGCAACCTCCTAAACAGGTAGGGACAGGCCTAATAAAAGATTAGCCCAGTTCTCTGAAGTGACAGACAGGTCCAGGAGCAGTTCTTACCAGAATGCTGTCCTTTTCATTCCACAGCAACACAACACCGATTTTGCTGCCAACTTTCACATAAATGCTGCTCTTCTCTATCGTTATACCAGATTGACTGTATGGCAGTTGAACTCTGGGAAAAAGCAGAAAGAATACTAGTTAATTTCTGATGCAAATGTTTGATAAGAAGAAGGAAAAGTCTTGTGGTATCCACCATCTGTAGGATTCTGAGTGTATTTTTAGGAAATAAGAGCAATTAGAAAATAAGATGGTCCAACATTATCAAATATGGATCTAAATTTGGATCCAGTTTCTCAGAACATTTAATTTTTGAAGCAATCCTTAAGGGAAGGATTTATTTTCTGTGGCAGGAATTAATAGCCTTTTTATTCATTATTTATGTTGGCAAAATTGTCAGATCTATTGAAGAACACATAATTGTTTCCTCCCAAACATGCCAAAGTACCTGGCTAGACTGAAAAAGAAAAGCCTGTGGATGCCAAATAAATGTTATGAATTAAGTTACCTGTTGCCATCGACCAGGACAGCACCCTTTGTTAGTTCTGCAACGACACCTTCGAGTTTCATGGTGATGCGGTTGACAGTCGAAGTGTTTGCCACCACTTCACGCCTAATCTGGATGTTGAAGTCCTCGTAGGGAGCGTTGCAGTGGGAGGCAAAAACATAATTACAGAGCCCAGGGAAGGTGAATATGTCTCCGTCAAAGGTCTTGAAATGGAAGTTTCCCCATGTGCTGCACACACGGCCATTGTGAGCAGGGTTAGCAGCTGTGAATTAAAACTGGCTGTTAAAGAATGACTTAAAATCCCCAGCCTTCACATTGGGAAAATCAGCTTGTCCCAAGCTTCATTTTCCCTCCAAATGTTTTTTACCTGCCTTACCTGCATTTGTTGTTTTCTCTCTAACCACTATTCAGCTGTGTATTCATTCATCACTCATTTTATATCTGTAACTCATATATCCCTACAAATGGTTGTAGTTATGTTCAGCTAGTGCTTAATTAGTCACCTTCATTTAATGTGAGACAACAGTTAAAGATTATTTCTAATCATCATGTTTCTCCTCTTAATTATCCATGACTTCCTTTATGAGTACCTTTCCTCATTCATACCAAAGTCTTCTGTTTATACCCCCTAAAATTGAACACTTACTGAATATATTTTGTTTCCTTTACTTACATGTTATTGCTAGATTTGTCAGCAGTTGTGGTATGATGTTTAAGTTAGCTGAAATTCTTATAGAAGCTAGAAAAAAAAATAAGAAGGAAATCAAAAACTAGTATAACAATACCTAAATCCAGATGTAGGATAGACCCAGGAAGGACTAGAGAGTTGATATGTCAGACCCAAGGAAACAGTGTTAAGCCTGTTTTATTTTACACAGCTTAATAGTGCATGCTAAAATTTGAACTTAGGATACTTAAGTCATAAGAAATTGCTTTCAGCTATGATGATCTGCATTTTTTCCATGTTAACTTTGACCCTTTCATGAAAATGTGCTGCATTAGAATATCAGAATTCTTCAGAGACACTGAACAATACAGTGGGCTAAGCTGTAATAAATGAGCCTTTTACTGCAACAAAAGCATAGTTGCCTTCTCACTGCACTTCCTCTTTCTAAGGAGGGAATAAAATCCTTAATTATCATCTCTTTTCTGTTTTGTATTTTTCTATTAAGGGGCTGAAAACCCTTCAAAATGGCCACACATTGGTTGTACAGGACAGGCACGAATCATGACATGGTAAAAGTCAGTGAGGGATGCGTTGCCATCTTGATTTCCCAACATCAGCCACTGATTTCACAGCAGGTCAAAGTGGTCTCACTTCCTTTTTTTTAAAAGGAACCACACATCCCTTTGGCTTTATATGTACATGTTCATGCAGATATGCATGCAGCCTCAACAAACACATCTGTCTTCTTAGCTAACTATGATTATACAAATGTAACCATACTGTGTAATGTGTGTGTGTAATTAATAACTGGTGTCTAGTAAATATATTACTATTCTTAGAGAAGAGAGGTGTTAATACATAATTCTTTTCATCTGGCACTACTGGCAATATGATAAGGAGGGTATTCTTAAGGCATTTTTATTATTCAGTATGGATGTAGCAAATAAATACAAATATACAGCATAAATAAATTTACCATTTCGATTTTGTAGAAGACCCCCAGAGAACTGACTTCCTATTTGGAATCCAATCTGACCGCCTGTGAAAAAGTGGTGAAAAGAATATTAAGAGAAATATCCTGTTCCTGAACTTCTAAAGCAAAGTATTTAACTAGGCTCAAAGGACCCAGACACAACCCTGTAAAACAAAGGGGTTTCTGTGTTCCTTTATCACATCAGAGAAAATGAAACAGGCTTCTCAAAAAAGCTGTAATTGTAATTATAGAAATATAGCTGAAATGTAATTATAGAAAGAGGCATTCTATTACAAACACACAAAATTTGTAATCCAAATAACAAATGTGTATCTGCTTTCTTTGTTTCTCTCAAAACTCACTGCAAGAGATTGTAATGACTGGACAACAGCCCTTATTTCACTGCTGCACTAGATCTCAGTAATACATGAAGCAATACAGGAGGAATTCACAAAATGCAGGCGAGTCATTTATTAAAATTGTTGCTTAGAAGCTAGGTTATAGGAAAAGGCATGGAAGTGGTTAAAAGAATCAAGGGAATTCAAGCTTGATCCAATAATGGTTGCAGATATTTATGACAGTTTCTTTAGTGTCTAAGCACAGGGCCTTTTCTCAGGGAGCAGATGGGAAGCCTCAGTCAGGGATCTGGACTTGTCTTACAGCTGGATACAAGAAGATACCTCTGAGGGACAATACTAGGGTCATAGCCTGAGCATTAACCCAGAAGTATCCCAATGAACCAGGTTTTCTATTCTACCCATCTACTCACTCAAAGATAGCTCAAACTCACATCTTCTCTGCAGAAAATCTTAAGCATCATGCTGTAAAGCTATTTGACCAAGGGTTTTGCTACAACACCTGAAGCAAAAACTTTTGAGAGATGTCAAACTCTCCTGAATGCTTTGATTCCTAGAAAAAGACTGACCCTGACCTCCTGGGTTGATGTTCTTAGGTCTCGGATTTTATAAGTAAATATATCAGGCATTTCCTATAAAAGTTGAAGGGCTATAACTTTATATTGTGAAGGGCTGAATGCAGTCAGGATATTGGTTGTATGTTTAACATAGGTATGTTTAACCTGCCAAGTCTAAATCCTCACAGGATTTAAGTGATGCAATGACTAATATCTGGATCTTTATCTGGATTATGTGAATGAGCAGTGCAGGTGTCTAGAGAATTTCTCAGTCAAAGCAGAAGTGCCTATGGAGTTTGCCCTAAGTTAAGGCCCCCTTTTTACTTATACAATAGGTGAGAAGAGTTCACGGAGGCAGAACTGGGTTCATAAGACCCAACTCACTGAACTGAGAACCATACTGGTGGAAGAAGAGAAAATGCTGAAGTCAGGGGTGTGCCATAAGTCCCCTTTGGTACTTATATTCCCTGCTGAGCATTTCCTCCACTGTACCTCCATGAAAGCTGAACAACTATCTTTGCCTTTAAAATAATTGGATTAGGGACAGCTTGTTTTTTTAAAAATATTCTTAAATATAACTTCTGTCTGTGCACTATGTAAGCAGATTTATTACTTGATCCCAGAGCTAAAGAGTGCCTGTCTAAAGGAATTCAAGTACCTGTCCCAAAGAGAACTCCAAGAGATTACTGGCTTTGGAGCAGAGGGTTCTGGGCAGCCCAACCATAGCTAGAAGTTGCTGCAGTGTCTGCAGTTTCTTTAAGCTCTAAGCTTTTAATTCTTTTCTCATTTAACTTTGTGGTTGACTGCTAGTTACTGCCTATCACTATAAGCAAAGAAGTAACATGGGACAGAGTTTAAGCATTTTCCATTTCCTGCTCTTCTTTGAGTATCATAAATAATAACACTAAGTAAATGTATTCACAGCATATAATTTATACTGATTATAATTGATGAAAATATAATTGCTGAAAAAAAAATTGATGCAGATCAGGTAAGAGAAATACCTCTTTAACTCTACATAATAGGCTGAAGTTTGCTTTCACATTACACATCCATAGGAATCTCAGCAGGCATAGAATCATAGAAGGTTTGTTTATTCTAGTGTGGGAACCTTTGTAACAGAGCAAAATAGACCTATACATGTATTTTGTTCTGTTAATTTTTCTCAAGGAAACAGCAGGAGCTTTTGTTTACTTAGCAAATACATCATTCCCAAAGAAATTCTACCTGCATTGGTTTGTTTAGCAATTACACAACACCATGTTGTTTACTATTATAAAAATAAGTGTCTCTCGGTTGTAAGAAATTTAGTATTTGATAACTTGGAAACTAACCTAATTATTAAGAATATTTGGAACCATCCTTCAAGGTCTATACCCAGCTGGTAATTATTGTTGTCATCAGTTTATAAAAGTTAATATTTGACACAAAATATAAAGGTAGGCACACAATGTTCGTGGCGATGGCATGGGATAGGACCATTATTCTTTAGTCAGGATATCAGAAAGTATTTTCCACAGGGTGTGACTCAAACAAAGAAGTGTTTGCTGGACACTGTCTAATCACCACTCATTTTTCAAAGCCATTTATCAGATTAGCACTGCACAGGAGAAATAACTTTCTTTTTCCATGAATGGCTGAAAACACTTCTGATCGACATTGCGTAACTCCAAACAGAAGTTTATACTCTAGGAGATCGTTGTGTTTTTAAGTATGATACAGACCAACTGGCCAGCGTTTTAGTGTTTATTTCACAAACTATAAAGCAGCTTTAAATTATATTTGCACTTGTCAATGTTTTGAAGGTGATTTGCAAGTTAAATTTACCTAGGCAATCTGCAGATTTTAAAATGCCAGCTGACAGGCCAGAAATCACTGTACATGAAAAGGACTGACTTATCGAGCTTGTACTCCTGCAGATAGTTCCAGTTTGATTGGTTCCATCAACTTAACAGGGTTACTCATATTAATAAAAACTGCCAAGACCAGCCCTGATGGATATAATATTGACAGGTGAAAAAACCCCATCCAAAATAATGGATTGTGGTGTCACATAAATTTCCCCGTCCTGCTCATATTCAATATCTGTGATTTATACAAACATTTTGCATAAAGTATTATAAATTATTTACTGCACAATTAGTTACTGAAAATCCTTGCTATATGGATATTCCCTCCTGGTTTCTTTTGCAAAAGAAGTTGCAAGAAATGTTGAGAAATCTGGCATTAGCCCCTAGTAGGTGACAAAATACTGAAAAACATTGACCAGTGGACTGATCTGGCAACTGGAAAATGTTGTGGTTTAGATCTCATAAGAACCATAACATTCATTATGAATTCTAATACAAAATGCAATGGGAAAAAAATGCTTTTGTAAGGCATATGGGATACTGAAAATCTGACATTTTAAGTTGCAAATAAGAGTTTCTTTGGATTTGATCTTCAAGGCTACTTTCCATACGTAGTTATATACAGAAGTTTGAGGCAATATTAAATTAAATCAGTCAATGATTTAATAGTCAGACATTTAATAGTCAATGAAAATATATAAAAAAATATTGTCAGCCACCTCTTATATGAATCAACTAGTATAGTTGTTTAGAATATATTACTAGGTCTAAATAGAGTATTTTTCTTCTCCCAATAAAAAAGAAAATTTCTTACCTATTTGATGGATACAGCAAACTGCTAACAGGAAAGCCCATTCTGGTAGCAATATCCCCCTGCCAAACCCCATCTTGAGTGGAGTTTGGCACAAGGATGTTGGGTCTAAACTTGATCAGGACCGTAGTTCATCTGTGCTTTGTCGCTCTTATATAGTAGGTGACTTTGGCTTCCGTCCCAGATTGATTCAGAAAGTGTAGAAAGGTGAGGTTTGGGGGATTTTAGCTAATGAACAGGTAAACAGAGGATGCTCTTCCTTCCTCCAAAACTGGCCAATGGTATTTGCATTTTGGGAGGAGTAAATACATTTACGTACGTACATTTTAAGGTTCAATCTAGTAAAGAAACGTAACATGATTGCAAATAAAACGCAACTCCTCCTCCACAAATAACAGGTCCTGGAACAAATTAAATTTGGTGTTGCTTTACAGTTATGCAGATAGATGGCAAATAACCATTCTAAGTTTTTCAGTTCTATAACTGATGCCAGGCAACTCCTTGGCAAAAAACCCCACTGATTTTTGAAGTTTGTGGAATATTTCATATGTGGGGACCCAGCATCAAGAAGTCCCTCCTTGCTTATTGAGGCAGCTAATCCTGTAAAAGGAACACAATAATAACCTTGAAGGGTCCTGCAGTCTCACATGGCCACTCTGAGTGCCTGCCATGGAAACCCCTCTGTGTGACATTGACAGGCATTAGGCACCCATCTGAGAAAGACTCAGACAGCTTCACCTACACCTATCCTGCATTTGTTAGAGATGGCCTTAAACCTTGAAATCTACTTTTCAGTTCTCTGGTTTTGCCTTCTCATTGAAAATATCAGGAGTAATTTCAGCCAGCCAGCTGGTCTTGTACCAGCTTTCTAGGACTAAAAAGATTAATTATGGTCTGTGATGATGATAACATTGTTTCAGAATCATTCTTGTTTAATTCCATTCACATCCACAGAGTTATGAGAACTGCAAATTAGAGAAACAGGCAATGAATCAAGGATGTAAGACTTGCCAGTAAAGGTTTAACAGACCTTTTTTTCCTGAATGTAGACTTTTTGCAGTTTTACTGGGCAATCATTTCAAAAGCAGGAACAAATGCATACTACAATAAGCACAGACAGTATTTCTACTTCTTGTCACTTTATCTTTTTTAGGTTGACAGTGGAGGTGGGATGAGTTGCTCTGGGCAGATTTCTGTCAATTTCCTAGGTCAAAAGATCTTACTTTAATATAGTAAAAGATAGACAAAACTATTCAAAGTTAGTGAAACAATTCTTTTAAAACTGCTAGGTTTGGCAAAAACAATTTCCAGTCCAGCACTTGGGATATACATCATTTTCCCTCAATTCATCCTCAGCTTTAACCTCCTCACAGTCTACCAGAGTGCAGACAGCTGATGGAGTAAAAAAATCTCCATTATAAAGAATGGAATGAAGGCTGCTGCTCAGTGGGGAATTTAGCCAGAGGGACCTGGGAGGTGTAATTTGGGGTGGAAGAGCCTCAGGCCTAAGGAGCAAAAACCCCACAATAACTAGGATGTGTGGAGAGGCAGAAAGGACTTTCTTTGGGTAAAATGGGACAGTTTCACCTTCTACATGACTGTAAGATACAGTTCAGCAGTCTCTGCTTGTGTTTATCATCTGCTGAAGCAGGGGAAGGACAAAAATTCAGGAAGGTGTTCTAATTGCAAATGGGATCACTGCCATAACCTAACTCCCTTGGGTTCTTACCAAAATCCTTTAAAATATTTCCGTAAAGGAATAGGAGAGCATAATATTATACTCCATTCAGGAGTTACTGAATTAAATGTTGTCATTTTCTTTTAATTTTTCCCAGTTCAGCCACTATTTCCACTTCTGTTTAGCTCTAAAGAGATCAGAGGCTCACATATTTAGTAATATAAAATAAAATAAAATAAAATAAAATAAAATAAAATAAAATAAAATAAAATAAAATAAAATAAAATAAAATAAAATAAAATAAAATAAAATAAAATAAAATAAAATAAAATAAAATAAAATAAAATAAAATAAAATAGTTTCTTTATAGAGTGTTATTTGAATTTGATTTCTGGACTGAAATTGATGGAAGCTTGCTATGGCAATGTTGGGATACTTAAGTCAACATTTTGG